TGATGGATACCCATTGAATGAATGAAAGAATGAAATAAAAATGCTTTAGAGTTTCCTTTTATCTATATTAGAGCTCCTAGGAACAACAACAAAAAAAGTTCCCTATGTAAAAGCAAGCCTGAAAACCATAGCACTAGACAGGCTGACCTTCCATTTACTAATGGGTTTTCAGTACAGAGCTGATGTTAGGAGGGTGGACAGAAGAGATGGGGGAGCAGGTGACCTGAGGAACCTTGAAGCATGGTTGGCAACCAGAGCATTGGATATACTGGATTACTGCCTCCTTCCTGTCAAGATCCTAAATCTCTAGACCTTGGACCACCCTCCAACCCCCCTGAATACTAGGCAAAACTTGGTGTATGGGCATTTTCCACTGTAAGTAAAAGGCAAACAAAATTCTCATCAGATTCTCAAAGGAACCAGTGACCTATAAAAGGTTATGCGGCACTGCTCTAAGTCACGATCTAAACCTCCACAGACGTGGGTAATTTTGGTATAAGGAGTCTGAACATTTTATAGCAAGGAAATGGCAGGGCAGAAAAGGCTGGCTGGCCCAAAGTCACGTGGCCGGATTGCGGCAGGGCTGGGGTTTAGGATGATGTTCATTCTAATATATCAAGGGTTCTTAACCTGGGACCATGGGTGGGCTTCAGGGTCTATGAATGTGCTGAATTGCTCACAAGATTGGGAAGTGCGTTTTGCTATGGGAAGGAGTCAGTGCTCCCCTCAGATTCTCAGAGGGTCCAGGATCCAAGTAAGGTTAAGGACCATGGCAGTCCTCTAGTTGGTCCTCGGTTTGCCTTTCCTGCAAAGCCTGCCTGGAGAACTCCTGGGCACAGCTATTCTGAGGCACCAACCTTTGCTCAGGGTGGAGGGGAAGGCACTGAGGGTTGTTGTACTCTCCCCTGCACCATGTGACCCCCTCCTAGCACGCTTATACCAGACACAATATACGTGGGATAGAACCGAGTGGGCTGAACAGGAAGGTCACAGAAACTTCTTGACGTCAACCGAGATGTCAAAGCTGAGACTTTGGACACGCTCAGAACAGTTTCCCCAAGTTGGGCTCTGTCCCCTGGGAGACTGAGGGAGCAGGCGAGCCAGCGAGCACTCAGTTAAATGTCATCTTAATTTGGAAAGTGCAGAGGGATTTTTTTTTTTTTTTTTTTTAATCAGCAATCAGACGATCTGCAGCACCAGGAGTAGAAGGCAGTGCTCACTCTGAGCCTGGGGCAGCTCAGAGATTGACAGAGGCCTCTCTGCCTGTCACCTGACTTCAGGTTGGCAGCTCACTGACCCTACCTCTTCTGGCTGAAACGAGTGATATGGCAACCACCACCCTTGGGACGCTGGAGAGAAACACGTCCCAAAAAGGAGAAGACAGGAGTGGAGAGGCTCAGCTGGGCACGGAAAGTATAGCTAGAAAATAGGTCAGCATTTTTCAGCCCTATTAAGTATTGGGTACGAGGTAGTGGGTGGGGCAAGGAGGGAGGCATGATCAGAAACACACAGTCAACAAACATTTTGAATCTGTTAAGAAATTACTATGCATCAAAAGTAGTACTGGGGGGGGGGTATATAGAATCAATCCCTTCAACAAATATATTTAAAGCATCTGTTAGGTGTAGGGTAGGTTTGATGTTGGGTGGAGAAGGGGCAATGCATAGAATCACTCATTCACTAAATAAATGTTTACTGAGCATTGTATTAACGCAAAGACATAAGGAGCCAAACAGCCTTATTCCCACTGTAGCGTCAGGGCTCTCTGAAAACAGTACCTCCGGATAAGGAAACTGAGGCAGCAGAGCCTCCCAGAAAGGCTCATTGCTGAGGGCACCAGGCCCTGAGCCTCAGGTCACCCAGCATCCTGACCCAGGCTGGCCCTGCTGGCAGAGGCCACCTCCCTGTCCTCCCTGACATTTCCTTTCAGGCCCTGACAATGAGTCATTAGTAACGGAATTTTAATGGCAAAAGCACACAGTTCTGGGTCTGCTGACTAAGACCATCCCCTGGGGCTGCGTGGAGACCGAAGTGACTGAACAGCCAAGGGTTCCTGGTCCCTTGAAAACCTCTCTCTCATGACTTCCCCATCCTTCCCTCTCTCCAACGAGAGCTTAAAAATATCCCACCTCCACGCCTGGCACCTCAAATGGAACCGGTACTTAATTTGTAATGACTGAGGGGGAAGGAGGGCCGCATCTGGCCATCGCCACACAACACTCAGTGTCCCTGGACAGTCTGAACTGCCCCTGGGCCCAGGCCAGGCCAGGAGGCAGCAGTGACCAGAGAACCCGGAATGACAGCAGGAAGGGAAGAGGCTGGCTCCACGAGTGGGGCCCCGCGCGAGGACCAGCAGTGACCCCCGCAGAGCTGCCCCTCGCAGGCTCACGGCAATCGGCGGGCGCCGCTCTGTGCTCAGCTCCACGAGGGAAGCATCGGGTTAACCACGCTCTGTGCTGCAGGACTTCTTGGAACCCCGAGTACGCTGATGCGCTTTGTGAATCTATAAAAAGGGGATGTCTAGTGCAGCGCTTCCCAAACTTATTTGACCACAGAAACCTTTTTTATTTTTATTTTGCGGAGATTACTGCACTTCACAGCTTAAAACCCCGAGCTTTAACCAATGAGTGAATGGACCCTACCTGCACCGGCCGTGCTAAGTGCTGAGGACACTGGAATGAAAGGAAGACAAGGCCCCTGCCCCACGGGAGGGCAGGGCGAGGCCAGTGTGTAGGGCAGCCCTGGAAAGGCAGCAGGCGCAGGGGAGGCGGGGGAGCTAGAGGAAGCTCAGGGCTCCAGCAATGACAGGAAAGTGACAGCACGAGAGGCCGGGGAAAGGGTGAGCAGCAGGGAGGGAAATGTGGACCCTCTCCTCAAACTCTTCCCACCTTTGAACCGGCCAAGCAGGTGGTCTTTCCCATCTGAACAATCACTAGGGGTTTTGGTCGTTAGTCCCTCCCACACCCGACTCTCAACCACGTCTATGCTATTGAACTTGGGCTCACATCCAAAAACTAGGGCACAGCTATTCACAAATTCAGTAATTGAAGTCATTAGCGTTGACTCAGAAATCATTTTTTCTAAGTCTCTCTCTTGGAGAAGCTTTTAAGACCCTTTAAATTGTTTAATGGAAACTTTAGAGACGAGAATGGAGCCTCGGCTGTCAGCTCCCCGTGCCCGTCTCCCTGGCTCTCCCCAATACACTCAAGGGCAGAGTGATGAGATAATCCCTTATCTGCTTTATTAAGCTCCATGCGCTTCTGGCACACCCTTCACAAACAAAGACCACTCAAAATCCACACTCTCCCGCTCCAAGAGTCCAGGTACTCGATTTCCATTCACTCCCTTACATCCTCAGGATGATAAAAACACTGCCACGTGAAATCCCAGTGTGAGCAGCACAGAGAGCCTTGGACCAGGAGTCAGGAGGTCTGGCACCCCTCCTGGCCTGGTGACTCATAAACCCACGTAAACACATGTGCCTTCTCAGGTCCTGTCCACAGTGCAATGCCCACAGCAGCCCTGCAGAGTATGAAGGCAGACACCATTGCTCTCGGTCTACAGCAGAGGGACAAGGCGGTGGTGAGTCAAGCTACTCACTGCTTCAAGGTGACAGGGCCACGCACAGTGGCGTGGCCAGAACCTGGGTCTCACACTCCCTCCTCCTCCTTGCTGTGCTAGGGTGGGTTCTTAAGGTTCTTTGGGAATGTGGGTGGACGACTGGCCTCTTCTTTGGGACTCATGATGTGGTATCTCTCTGGAGAACCCACAGGCTCCATCTTCAGGGCTGAAGTGAGAAGGTCTGAAAAAAAAGTCAAACAGATACAGCAGGCAATTAGGCAAGAAATTCCCAACCAGACATTCATGAAACTGCTGGAGAGGAACGAAAATGAACTGGAACAACAGCGAACTGATTCAGTGTTCCCCGCGGCTTAGCTGTTCACGGAACCACCTCAGGACTTTTGCCACCTCTCTGGATCTGTGTTCCCTTCTATGCAATGTCACAGCGCTTTCCCTGAACTGGATTCACCGTTCTTAATGTCTGTGAAACTATAATATGCTAGTCACATTGTTACATGATATATTAAATATACGCTACTAAAATAAAAACTATCAATACGAATACCACCTAGAATCCTCTTGTGAACCACACGTGTCAGATGCTGGCAAAAAATGATGCAGTCTTGCCCTGGCAGGCATGGCTTGACGGTGAGAGCACATGCGGCACTTGTGTGCGTGTGGCAACTAATCAATGTGTCTTTGTGACGCCGATGTCTTTCTCTCTCCCCCAACCCCTTCCACCCTCTCTAAAAATCAATGGAAAACATATCCTCACCCCTCTTGGGGTTTTTGTTTTTTGTTTTTAATATATTTTATTGATTTTTAACAGAGAGGAAGGGAGAGAGAGAGAGAGCTAGAAACGTCGATGAGAGAGAAACATCAGCCGGCTGCCTCTTGCACACCCCCTACCGGGGATGTGCCTGCAACCAATGTACATGCCCTTGACCGGAATCAAACCTGGGACCTTTCAGTCTGCAGACCGATGCTCTACCACTGAGCCAAACCGGCTTCGGCTCCTCAACCCTCTTATGAAGATTAATTAAAAAAAAAAAAAAAAAAAAAAAAAAAAAAGATATAGTCCAAGCTTGAGGAACTATGGGGAGGGAGAAGGTAACTGATTTGCTCAAAGACAAAGGCTGAGGTGAGGACCTGGGTCTCCGGAGCATTCAGTACCACTTTTTTACAGGTCACTGAATGAATCCTTTTTGTGCACAGATCAGAAATGCCTGTGATTTACCCACTGCTCATCTGTGAGGCTACCTGGGGGGAAAGGTCAAAGTCATTTATTAGCCATGCACTTGAAATTGCCGGCGAACCTGGCTCCTACCTGAATTTCCACCCTGGAGAGGCATACTGACCCCTATTTTTATTGTCATCCAACTTCCTCCCTGCCCTCCCCCCTGCACCAGTGAAAGGTACAGCGACGGCTTGATCTCACCTTAGCCAAAACCCAGTCTGACGAGACTCCTTTCCAAGGAGTGTGGGGGCACAGCCACGGTGGGGGCCTGGGGGCTGGCTCTGAGATGGCCACTTCTACAGAGGAGGCCAAGGTTCCCTGTGCTCCAGGCATGTGGGAGGTGCGAGGCTCCTGCCAGCAGGGTGTTAAGGCTGCAGAGGGCGGGGCTGGAGAAGGACTTCAACCCTGTGACTGCCAGGTCCTTGGGTCCCGAGGCTGTGAGGAGAGGTGAGAGTAACTTACTCATGCTGTATTCTGGGACTCCTATTTTAGAGCAAGGAATTATTTATTCATTTATTTATTTAATTTTTTAATTTTATTGATTATAGCATTGGAACACTTTTCTTAAAAAAAAAAAAACAACTCACAAAACTTTTATTGATTTCAGAGAGAAAGGGAGGGAGAGGGAGAGGGAGAGGGAGAGAAATAGAGGGAGAGAAATATCAATGATCAGAATCATTGATCGGCTGCCTCCTGCACACCCACTGGGGATGGAGCCCACAACCCAGGCATGCGCCCCTGACTGGAACTGAACCTGGGACCCTTCAGTCTGCAGGTGGATGCTCTATCCACTGAGCCAAACTGGCTAGGGCAAGTAAGGAATTCTTAAAGACTTAGTTCTCCCTGGCACTGTTAACCCACCCAGCCCGAGTGACTCCTGGATGAGCAGGGCTCTCGGCGTTCTCACAGGGTAACGCAGGGCATCAAGGCAGCCTCAGGATGTCGTCTCTCCTGGAAAATCACCAGGGCAGCTGCCATTTATTTAATACCTACTGTGTGCCAGCCTTGCTAGGCCCGTTATGGTCATCTCATTTAACCCTTACAACTACCGGGTGGGTCAAGTACTACTAGTATCCTCATAGTCAGAGGTGAAGAAGCTGAGGCTCGCCGAGACCAGTTTGGCTCAGTGGTAGAGTGTCGGTCTGCGGACTCAAGGGTCCTGGGTTCAATTCCAGTCAAGGGCATATACCTTGGTTGCGGGCACATCCCCGGTAGGAGGTGTGTAGGAGGTGACTGATCGATGTTTCTCATTAATGTTTCTGACTCTCTATCCTTCTCCTTTCCTCTCTATAAAAAATTAATAAAATATATTAAAAAAAAAAAAAAAAGCTGAGGCTCAAGGACATGGGGTTCAGTGACAGCACAGGGGTCAAAACAGGTTTGTCTGACTCGAAAAGCTGTGCTGTGCTCTTACCTATCCACTGGGGCAGGAAATAGCAAGGAGACCAACAGCTATTGCCACCCCTTTCTCTGACGGGGAGGGGCCCTGTGGGCTTTGACCTGCACCTGCAACTGCTGCCTCCATGGACAAGAGGGTCTGCAGCCTCTCCTGGGCGGGCTCATTCCCCAGAGCTGCTGACTGCTGATAACATCGCACAGCCTGTCCCAGACTCCTCTGCACACCAAGGCCCTTCTCATAGCAAATCCCCAAGTGGTACCTGCTCTGTGAGTCCTACAAGAGAAAACGGACAGACCACAGATACACAATGCTTGCTTTCATCCATGAAATAAATGCTCTGTGAAACAAACTCTAGGCCATGCTGCCTGGGTGCCAATGCCCCCAGTTCAAAGACACCAGACATCCCCAGCAACAGCTCTGGGCCTTCACTTCACGTGTTTTCTGGGTCCCCTGGATTACAACACGTGTAACGTCGCACCTGTATATACAACTTACAACATGCTTTCACACGTTATCTTAGTCAGATTTTGATCCTCACGACAACCCTGTGAACTAGGAGGCTAGCAGGCATTATTGTCCCAATTTTAGAGATGAGGGAACAGGTTTGGATAATAAATGACCAGCTCAGTAGTCTACTGGTTAATATGTAACACCTGGCTCTGCAGGGGGGGGTAGTGGGGGAGCACCCTGTACTGAAGCATTTGCAATTTCCATGGTGCCAATACTCCAGCCATCATTGATTTTTACATATAACAGCTCTCACAGGCTGGTTTGAGCCAGCTCCAGCACATCCTGGGACTTTCGCAGGTCACACATAAATCAACAAGAGTTTGAAGCTGGCCCAATTCTCCTATCAAAAAGTCCTCTAAACAGAACAGAACTCAGTTCTAAAGTCCTTTCCTTTATCAGAATGGGTCCCAAACATGCCTGGATATTGAGATCTCATACCCCATTGTTGGCAGCAAGCCAAAGATATTTCACAGCTCTCTGCTCGTCCAAGTATGGTTCCTTGGTGAAAAGCACCCCGAGGAAAGCTTGGGCCTGTGGTCAAGAAGGAAGGAAAAACCTATTTTGGTTGCTGCCAGGCCCCACCCACCCCAGGTGCCCAAGAGAGACCCCACCCATAGCTCCCACCTCTCTCAAGCCTGAGTCTGCAGCCTGCTTCAGCATGGACACTGCCCTCTGCCGCTCAGGGTCCCAGGAAAAGGCTGAGCCTTGTAGCAGGCACCTGGCATAGCGGTACTGAGCCAGGCTATGGCCCTGGCTGGCAGCCAGCTGGTAACAAAGGACTGCCTGGGGCAAAGGAGAAACACCGTCACTGCAAGCAGCTTTTTCTTTGATTGAAAATTCTAAATGTTATTTTAATTAAATAATACATCATGATTACGGATTAGTCAGAAAATGCAGATAAGCCAAAAAAAATTTAAATACAGATGAGACGAAAAATAGAAACATACAATCCCAAGAAATCCTGCCTCTTAAAGATCATTCTGTTAACGCTTCAGTGTACAGCTCTGCAAATCTCTTCATATGCATGCTTATATGTGTACACACACATACTATATATATTTACACACATAATATGTGTGTATAGGGAGGGAGATGGAGAATGACATCCACTATTTTGTGACCTATTTTTTTCATATAACAATACACCATGAATGTCTTTCTCAGCCAATAAATATAGATCTAGCACATTATTTTTAAGGACCACAGAGATGTTACTAACCAATTCTCTACTGAGGAAACTTCAGGTTGCTTCCCTTTTCTTTGCTCTCATATACAATTTTAAGAAATTCACTCTTGCATATAACATCTTTCTGTACTTATCTTGCTGTTTTAGAATTAATTAACCACTCACCAAAGTAAGACTCTAGGCCCTGAGGGTGTGGCTGCAAAGAAGAAAGACCACGGCCTGCCCTACCCGAGTTTGGAGTCTAACTTCCTAGAAGTCAGAGCTTTTCCAAAACATTTCCCGCACAGGTGGGAGAGAGACTGGACTTTCCCCGCCCTGCCCACTGCTCCTTTCTGGAGGTCACTCTGGCCTGTGGCGCAGGGGGTGGGTCTGGGGAGAGGAGGTTGGTACCTTGCCAAGGTCCTTGGAGGTGCCTCTGCCATACTCATGACACAAGCCCTCGTTGTACTGGGCTTTGCTGTAGCCACGCTCTGCTGCTTTCTGGAAGTAGGAAAAGGCGGCCGTGTGGTGCCCATTCCTCACGTTCTCTGTCCCTGTGAAAAAGCACAGGGTGTAAACACTCACAGCTTCCCCTTGGGAGCTTCCCCACAGCCTCGGCCAGGAACCCACAAGCTCCTTCCTTTCTTTTTGGTGCTGGGCATTTGCATATATTTCCCTTCTCCAAATATTTCCCTGGTTTGCCATACACCTCAGTGGGTTCTGCCCTCCTCTACACCATTCTCCTCTTGGCAATAGGATGCCGAATTCCCTTTGGGACTAGCCCTCCCCCCAGTGCTGTCAATCAACGTGTCTCCTCTCTTCCCAACCAATGAGAATCTCCCTCAGAAATCTGATTCTTGATCTCTTTGTGACCAGAGAGAAAGAGCTTCTGCAGTTCATTCTGAGGACAGCACTTTGAAGTCACTATAGGTACTGGCCCCTGGGTCCACAGCTTCCCTGGTTCCTGTCCGTTCGGAGGCTCAGCAGGTCAGCAGGTCTCCACAGACTCCTGTTGTGTTTAAGTCAGCCAGAGCGAGTTTAGGTTGTTTGTAACCAACAAGCTACATAGCTGATACTGCTAATGTTGCTTTATGAGGTCACTGTGAGGGATTAATATAAAAGAGCAAAGACCTGAACTCAGGTTGTCCAAAGCCCAGGTTCTTTTATCCTCCAAATAAAAAGGAAAACAGGAGAGGGGCTGGGCACAACCCATTCTCAAGTCCAAGCCTTTGCTCAACTGTTTCTCCTGCCTGGAATATCTTTTTCTGCCTCCACCATCTGGCCTTCGCATCCTGTTTCTGCTCTAGAACCTGCAGACCACACTCAGGCTTGAAACACTTCTTTGGCACTTACTTAATATACAAGCCTTTTTCTCTGAACTAAACTGTTTCAAGAATATAAGCCCTGTCTCCTCAATTAGACTAAAATCCTGGAGGCAGATGCAGAAAAAGAATGCAAAAGAAATAACTTTGCATAGGGTGAAAGCTCTATACAAATGCAAAATATGATTATGGCTTATGCTCCCTTTGTGTTCTGTCACAGCGCTTAGCACTTGCTGAATAAATGAATATATGAATGAAGGAATGGGCAAGAAAATTCTAAGAAGAGACTGTCTGCCCATCAAAATCACAAAAAGCTAATGAGGCAGAAGCCAGGCTGCATTCAGCCGCAGTGAACTGAAGTCGCCTCCCTGCTGCCTGAAAACTCTCCCACCAGGATTCAGAGTCCTCTTGTCCTTGAGAAGGCTCAGAGGGCAAAGGACCCCACTCTGTCCCCATTCCCCTCACTGGCTCTACCAACATACCCTGATCCATCTTCCTTTCTCAGTCTCCTCTGCCTGTAACCTAGACTAAGCCATCATCACATTTTGCTTAGTCACCAGCAACAGTTCAACTCAGTCTCCTGCTCCCTCTCTGGCATCCCTTTAATCCACATCTGTCTACATAACTGCCAGAGAGATCTTCAAAAGGTAAATCAGATCATGTGACTGCCCCTCTTCCTGCTCCAGTGTAAAACCCTCTAATGGCTTCCTGTCTTAGCAAATCCACACTGTACCATGGCTCAGAAAAGCTCACTTGATCCAGCTCCTGCTTGCTTCTCTTGACTTTGCTCCATAAATTTGTTCTGAGAGAATCCCAGCCTCACACTCACCTGTCTACTAGACTCCAACAGATGCTTCTTGGGAGTCTGGGTCTCCATATTAGAAGGCCTGAAACTTAAGCCAAGTCACTGTGGAAACCAGGACACATGGTGAAGGGGCCTCTGCAGTCTCCAGATGTGGGTAAGAAGTTCTTATTCATGCACCTGAGGGCCTGCTCCAAACTCAGGAGCCTGTTCTTGCCTATATGTGGCAGAGCAGGCAAGGCGTTCTCCAAAATTTACTTCCTGCTTCTTAATAGTAGGCATATGGTCATTCAGCTAAAGACCACATTTCCCTCTCTGCTCTGTGATGAGGGTGGCCATAAGCCTACATTCTGGGCATTGATTTGTGCAACTTCTCAGTCATGTCCTTACAGTGAAGAAGTGGCCCTTTTGCTTTCCCATCTGGCTAGAATATGGCAGGATTTAGAATAGCCAACTAAGACCTCGATAGGAGCCAGTTTGAAGAATGGCAAACACGTCTGAATGAGAATGGGTCCCTGGCACCACAGTGCCTCCAGGCCAGATTTGGTTTACCTGGGGGAAAAGAAACTGTCTCTGGTTTAAACCAATTCCTACTGTGCCTCTATCTGACCTTCTCCATACCCTTTCCATTTTCCCATCTGCCTGCCTTGAGGGAGGGTCCACCTAGTTACCTAGGAAGTTGAAAGCGATGGAAACAGTGAGCTGGAAGAGTTGCTGAATGGAAGTCACAGCCTCCTCGAGGGAAAGTATTTTTGATTTATCTTGTTCCTGGGAAAAAATACAAAGAGACTTGTCACTTGGGGGGGGGGGGGGGGGAGTCACTGGGATTGCCACCTGCCCATGGTAATGTTAGAAAGATCCAGGTGGCCACATCTGGACAATACCTGCTTTTCACCAGTGCGCTGAGGCTGGGCTGGTTTTGCCTGGGAGCTGAAGCTGCTGCTGGCATGCAGGAAGCCGACATCACTGGGATCTGCATGGGAAAAGGCCAACAACCAGCCAGGGCAAAAGAGAAAGTGACTTCTCCTTTTCTCCCCCTTTCCCAGTCTCCCAGCCCCTCCAGCCAGCACCACTGCCAGGAGCCACAATAACCATGAGCTACCTCAGCAAGCCTGGGGCCTCACAGGAATGAAAAGTCCCTTACAACAAGAAATGTTCACCAGTCCAACTTCCCACCCCGCCACTGCCTTCTGCTGATTCTAGGAGGTAGGGACATACCTTCCTCAGGGGGCTCCCGAAGATCAGCTGCTCTCAAGGATCTGTGTGAGGAGGGGCTCTCGGGCTGAGTGGAGGGTTCTTCCTGGCCCAGCCTGGGTTCCCTGAGGCCCGTGTGCCTGGGAGCTGGGCTGTCAGGGCTGGGGAGAATGTGCCTCCGCAACGCTGGAAGAGCCGGCGACAGCAGTCACATCAGGAGGGGATCAGTACAGAGAGCTCGGGGAAGTTTGGGGGAACCAAAGGAAGAACTTGGAGACTCCTGTGACACCTCCTTCACTGACCTCCTCCTCCATTTCCCTTGCTGGCTTCCGCTGCATGAGTTTAGAGGGGCCCACATTTACGCTGACCTCCTGCCTGATGCATAAATCACTCTTCTGCTTTAATCTTCCAGTGGCAAGGAGGCATCTACTCTATTATTCACTGCTGAAGGCCCAGCACCCAACACTTCGTTTGATGATAATACTGATAATTATGGTATCAAAACAATAAGGGCAAGAATTTAACCTAATACTTACTGAGCACTTCCTATGTGTCAGGCACATATGTCCTTATATTAATTCATTTGGTCCTCCCAAGAAACTTATTATTACCTCCTTTTACAGATGAAGAAACTGAGGCATAGGAAAGTTTAAAATGACTTGTCCAGGAACCCAAGACTAGTATACAGCAGCTATGGGGCTTGAACCCCAATAGTCTGACTCCAGAGCAACCAATTGGCTTTATTGCCCCTATACCCTGGTACATAATAGCTACTCAATAAAGATACATTTATTAAGAAATGATGGAGCAGAGAATGAGCTAACTGGCTCAGAGATAGACAGGAAGCCACACCCAGGATCTACAGTACACTGCACCCCAGTGGGGCTCCCTCCATGGGAGGTGATGGGAGGACATTGGAGGGTAGGTGTGGCCCACGACCTGGGTGGATGGAACTTCCTCACATTCTCCTTCCTCTGACTTCAGATAGGAAAGGCAAGGAGCTGCTGATGGCTCTTTTCCTGAGGTGTGTCCAGAGATGCTTCCTGGCTCAGAGAAACTCCCAGGCCAGCCCTCCAGTCCCCGGGTCTGAGAACTCACAGGAGCACGGATGCCACAGGGGAGATGAGAGGAAACAGTCCAGTGGACTGCGCCAAGAGCCATGCTCCGCTCGCCGCGGTCCTGCTGGCAGCGATGCTTGGAAGTGGATCTGCCTTGCCAGCTGCAGGGCCAGCACAGCCAGAGTGCCCTGGGAAAGACAGCCCATTAGGGACACAGCTGTCACCAGTCAGTCCGTACAGTCCTAGCCTGCAGCTCAAACATCACTTCCAGAAGCCTTTCCTGACCCCTGGTGGGGGCAGCTCCTCCACTCCATCCTCTCTCAGCACCCAACTTCCCCTCTGAAACCCTGATCATACTGGTGCCTAAGCAATCATCTCTACAATTATTCCACTAAGGTCTGACTCTCCTGCTAGTTTTAAAGCACCATGAGGGCAGCAGGAATCATGTCTGTTTTCCTCACCAATGGAGCCTGACACCTCGTAGGGTGCTAAGATATATATGCTGAGTAAATGCATGAGCGAGTTACTGAGTAAATAACTAAGCAGGCAGAAAGACAATGTGGTAAGTTGGGGCTCTGTACAAATGCAGGAACAGGTCAGAGTTCCCCACCAGGCTCACTCTCCTTCTCTAACCTGGCACAACTCTTCCCTTCCCTTCACCCTGACCAAGCCTCCCCATCACACACATCTTCACAGGTGCAGGCTTGTTGAAAGTGTCTCATCTTCAACAGGTCTGCAGAACACCTCAGCAAGCTCCTACCCAGTGCTGCTTGGTTTTCCCTCCCCCTTCCTATATATTGAAAGGGACACCCAAATACTCATTATGCAACAGGAACTGGGTACAATGACAAGACAGACACAGTCTGCTCTAGCGGAGTTTATCATATTCATTGATGAAGAAAGACAAAAACCCAAATACACAAAGGAAGAACTACAAGTTATGCTAAAGGAAACAAATCAGCCAAAACCGGTTTGGCTCAGTGGATAGAACGTCGGCCTGTGGACTGAAAGGTCCCAGGTTCGATTCCGGTCAAGGGCATTTACCCTGGTTGGATGCAGGCACATACCCGGTAGGGGGGGTGTGGAAGAGGCAGCTGATTGATGATTCTCTCTCATCGATGTTTCTAACTCTCTATCCCTCTCTCTTCCTCTCTGTAAAAAAAAAATAAATAAATACTATATATATATATATTATATATATATATGTATATATATATTTTTTTCTTTTTAAAGGAAGCAAATCAGGGTTTACAGAGTGTAAGAGGGAGGCTTGACTAGGTAAGTAATCAGGGAAACACTCTCTATTGAGGTGACGTGTGAGCTGAGGCCAGAAAAAAGAGAAGGTGCTGGCATTGTCAATAACAGGGCTATGTACCCAGGCACTGAGGACAGCTTGTGCTCAGGCCCTTTCACACGGGCAGCAGTGACAGAGCAGAGGGATGGCCATCAGGACACCTGGGATCCAGGTCCAGTTTCCAAAAAGACTCTCTAGGGGATTACCCTAGGGCTTGGATCTTTGGCAAAAATGGGAAACTGCTTGCCCTGGCCGGTGTGGCTCCCCTGGTTGAGCGTCCTATGCACCAAAAGGTTGCCAGTTTGATTCCCAATCTGTGTGTGTACCAGAGGCAACCAATCAATGTTGCTCTCACATTGATGTTTCTCTCTCTTCCTCTCACTTTCTCTCTCTCAAAAAAAATAAAAAACCAATAAAATATATTTTGTTTTAAAGGGAAAATGTTCCACTCTCCAAAGTGTGTTATGCCTCTAGTCCACAGCTTCCTAGACAGAAGTGCCCCTGTCATGGGAGACACTCCAGGCTCAGCTCTGCTGATGACACCCGTTTACAGACGGTACAACTGAGGCTCAGAGAGGTGAAATCATTTGCCCAAAATATACAGCATGGAAGTGATAGGGATGAGATGTAATAGACACAAAGAATTATGTGTGTGCCAACTTCATTCAAAATACCTTATAAGAACAACCTGGAAGGCAAAGATTCTAGATTGAGAATCTGACTTTATAATTCAACAAATATTTATTCAGCAGCTGTTATGGGCCAGGACCTGTACTAGATGCTTTTACAAACCATACTAGGTGCAGGTACCAAGCTATGGAGCAAGGTAGGTAAGAGTAAGAACTCCAGAGTAAAATCTGGCTCCTCTACTTAATTGCTGTGTGACCTTAAGCATGTTACCTGAAGTTTCAGAGCCTAAGGTTCCTCACCTATAAAATGGAGATATCTCCCTTGCAAAACTTATGTAAGGATCAAACAAGATAAGGCACATATAATACTTTACATTAATAAATAAAATATTAGCTGTTTAGCATTATTTATTGTAAACTCCATGAAGGCAAAAATCTTATCTATCTTGTTCTCCACTATTTCTCTAGTGCCTACCAAAAATGCCTGGCTCAGAGGAGTTAAACAACTATTTACTGAATAAAAGGAGGAATAAATACATGGAGGGCAGGGGATGGGAAGCATGGCTCTACTAAGTGTACCAGTTAATAATGCAGACTTTTTCCCAATAGATGGAGATACACATATGTTGATATATATGTAATTTTATATGTATGTTATTTTGTTGTATTGACAGCAAGCTTCAAAACTTCATATTTCAAATTTGCTAAAGGTGTTAACATCAGATATTTTTACACTTAAAAATGTCCAATTTTGTGCAAAAAAAAAAGAGCATTTGTGGGAAGTTTTAATTCATTACTTTATTTTGAAGAAGAAGTTATCCTATCTTATGGTGAACATAGTCCATCTCAAGATACTTGTGAACACTGGTTTAAACACTTTAAAAGTGATGATTTTGATGTGCAAGACAAAGAATGTCCAGGTTAACCAAAAAAGTTTGAAGACCAACAATTACAAGTATTGGATAAAGACTGGTGTCAAACTCAAAAACAACTTGCAGAAAGATTAAACACTGCTCAGCAAACAATTTCTGATTGTTTATAAGCAATGAGAAAGATTTTAAAGGAAGGAAATGGGTGCCGCATCAACTGAATGAAAGACAAATGAAAAACTGAAAAGTCATTAGTAAAATGTTGCTTCAACGGCATGAAAGAAAGTCTTTTTTGCATTGAACTGTCATTGGCAATGAACAGTGGACTTATTTTGAGAATCACAAATGCACAAAAATCAGTCGCCTCCATATAAACAGACTTGAGGCAATGGCAGGCCCACCAATCTTCCCTTTGATACTTGGAACCCCAGCCCAGGAACCCAGGGATCTCTGGCATCTGACTCTAAAAGTTCTTAAAGGATCCAGGTTGATCCAGGTCAACTATCAACATTGACTGCAAGGCCAAATCGCTTCGGAAAGAAGACAATGCTCTGCATTTGGTGGGATCAGGGAGATGTGGTGTATTATGAGCTTCTAAAACCAGGTGAAACGGTTAATACTGATCACTACTGACAACAAATAATCAATTTGAACCACGCTTTGATCGTGAAATGACCAGAATGTGCCAGAAGACATGGCAAAGTAATTTTGCTTTATGATGATGCACCATCACACACTTCAAAACCAGTTAAAGACATGTTAAAAGATCTTGCCTGGGCCCTAACTGTTTTGGCTCAGTGGGTAAAGCGTCAGCCTGCAAACTGAAAGGTTCGATTCTGGTCAAGGGAATGTACCTTGGTTTCAGGCACATCCACAGTGGGGGGTATGCAGGAGGCAACTGATCGATGTTTCTCTCTCATCAATGTTTCTAGCTCTCTATCCCTCTCCCTTCCTCTCTCTCTATTAAAAAAAAAAAGTCAATAAAATATATTTAAAAAGAAAGAAAGATCTTGCCTGGGAAGTATTAACCCACCCACTATTTATCAGACCTTGCTCCTTCAGATTATTACTTGTACTGATCGATGGCACACGCACTTTGAGCATCACTCCAAAACATACAAAGAAGTGGAAAATTAGGTCTCTGAATGGTTTGCCTCAAAACAAGAAAAGTTCTATTGGGATGATATCCACAAATTACCTGAAAGATGGAGGAAGTGTGTAGCTAGCGATGGACATTACTTTGAATAAAGCACTTTTGATGTTTCTCTTAAAATTATGTTTTCTTTTATTACAAAATTTGCCATTATTAACCAGAACACTTAGTATATCCCTAAATATGCTCCAATGTCACAAAGTTACTCAAAATTGGACACAATGATGCCCTAGCTCTTGTTTTAGACTATACGTCCATGCAGGATCATTCCCACCCACACTGAAAGTTAAGGACAGGACCGAGGAAGCCTTACCCACGATACCGCATCCCACAAGGTGTTTGGGGAGACACGGCTGGACATCCACTGGAAGGCGTCCTTCCATCCATGGGACCGTGGGCCCCTGCTTGTGCCTGGACCTGGGCCATGGGGGTCTGACCTGGATGATGTAATGGAGGCCATTAAGTTCTGTCCCAGGTAAGAGGGAGAGGGGGGCCAGGAGAGGAAACAGGTGAGGGAATGGCAGCATCTCACCTGTCAAAGCTTGGCACAGAGACCAGTAGATTTGAGGAGGTAGCTTGAGACCCATCTGGGCTGGTGGGCGTGGGGGTCACCCCTCGGAAGCCAGGTCCAAGCAGACGGAGAAGAGCTGTGCAGAGCAACAAAAATCAGTCACCTCCATATAAACAGACTTGAGGCAACGGCAGGCCCACCAATCTTCCCTTTGATACTTGGAACCCCAGCCCAGGAACCCAGGGATCTCTGGCATCTGACTCCGTAAAAGTTCTTAAAGGAAACATGTGGGAATTTTTTGCCTAATACAGATTCCAGGGTGCCACCCCAGAACCAATAAGACAGATTGTTATGGGTGGGGCATCTATATTTTGATGCTCCTGGCGATTTTGATGCCCTTCTCGGGTTAACAACCACTGTTCTAAAAATGACCAGGCATTCATACACAAATTGAACTCTAGCTCCAAGTTTGGAGTAGTTTCTAAATCCTGCCTCTTCTCATTGGCTCGGCCTACTCCACTGGCCTCTACACCTTTTGACTTCACCCACCATCGTTATTTGGCTCCTCCCCCTTGAGCAGCCACACCCATCTCCTTGGCTCTAAGCTGCACCCTCTTCCCCACCAGCTCTATCAACACCTCAAATTTCAACCCCCATCTCTTTGCTGGGGGTGTGCAGGAAGCAGGTGATCAATGTTTCTTTTTCATCAATGTTTCTAACTCTCTATCCCTCTCCCTTCCTCTCCATAAAAAAAAAAAGCAATAAAATATATTTTTTTTAAAAAGAAAGCTCTTGCTAGGGAAGCCCCGCCCCTCCAGCCCCGCCTTCCCCCGCTCCAGCTCGGTCCTCTGCAGCTTCGGCTCTGCCCTCCCTCCAGCCCCTCCTCCAATTCCGGGTCTCCGCTGCCGCGGGACGCGCAGCTCCCACGCCCCTCACTTCTGCTTCGGAGTCCCGGGAGGCGCCACATGTCGTCGCCAACACCAGAGGCTCGCGGCCCAAAAAAGCGAGGCCAAACCGCGGGACAGCGGCTACCACGGCCGCTGCAGCGCCCTCCGGGCGGCGGAACCCGAGAAAGCTCCCAGCCAGCCAATGAGAAAGGGGCCCCGCCGGAAGGACGGTGCTCGGCAAGCGGAAGTGGGGTGTGGGCGGGCTTTGGGTAGCGGGAGGTGAAGTGCGGCAAGGGCGCAGCACGTGGGCTGTGCTGGCACGAGCCCGGGGGGCCTGCGGAGGCGGGGTGCTCGCCGCTGGCCAAGCTGAGCCGCCCGAGAAGCGGGACTAGAGCGGCCTCAGTGGCGGCGCAAGAGCATCTTGCAGACGCCCTAGAAATGCGAAAGGGGAACAGCCTTCCTCAGGCCATGATGCTGGAGGGGGTGGGAGTGATGAGGCCCATTGGGCGGAGTGGGGAGCCTGTAATCCATGCTTCCCGTCCAAGGCCCTTGGCCTGGAGAGGTGGGCCGGACCGATGGCGTAGGCAATGAAGTCCTGCACAAGCAGGCTCTGATTCCGGGGTTCCAGCGCCGGCTCGGCTTTTGTTTTCACCCTGTAGCCTCTGGCCAAACCCCTCCACTGTCGGGCATCAGCCTTCCTAATAGAGGGTCAGAAAGAGTGATCTGGTTCTAACTGGTTTAACAGGAACAACTTGAATTGCTGTTTTTAAAATACCTAAGAGAGCCCTAGCGGTTTGGCTCGGCGAATAGAGCATGGGTCTGTGGTTTAAAGGGTCCCGGGTTTGATTCTGGTCAAAGGCACAAGCCCAGGTTGTGGGCTCCATCCCCAGTAGGGGGCGTGCAGGAGGCAGCCAATCGATTCTCATCATTGACGTTTCTATCTCTTCTCTCCCTTCCTCTCTGAAATCAATAAGAAAATATTTTTTATGATGAACAACATAGACTGATGAACAAGAACAGACCCAGAGACAAGGAGACATGGATCAGACTCGGACCTCAGAGGGAGTGTAGGGGAGGGGAGGGATAAAGGGGATGATCAAAGGATTTGTGTGCAAGCTTATGAGCCTAACCAGCGGTCAGGGACAACAGGGCGGTGGAGGTATATGTGGGGAGAGGTGCGGGGTGGGAATGGGGGGAATACGGACAAATATGTGATACTTTAATAAAGAAAATTTAAAAAATTAAAGATTATAGAATGAAATATTTTAAATAAAAAAATATATTTTAAAAAACAACCTGAGAACCCACTGCCTCGCTACACCTGTTGTTAATCAGAGCCCTCATCTTCAAACCCAGCCAATGCCAAGGATGTGTTCTTTTGCCGGGAAAAGCATGGTTCTCTTCTACTGCACTTTAATCCATTAAAATAAAGGAGCTCACATTCAAATATAAGATGTGTTGATTTCCTCCTCCTTTTCCCCAAGTACCTGACTTCTGGGCAGGTGAAAGTTTCCACTTGGGGTAAAAGTACTGGGGGGTGGTACCTACTTTAGACACAGGCAATTAATATATCCAGTCATATATATTCATATGTTCAATTTTTGAGCCATATGTAGCCACCATCCTAGAATCAGAAGACAGGGTAAAGAGCATTTGTGGCCTCCAGGAATACCCTGTTTCCCCGAAAATAAGACAGTGTCTTATATTACTTTTTTTCTCCCAATTTTCAGGGGATGTCTTATCTTTCCATGCGCTAGGTCTTATTTTCGGAGGATGTCTTATTTTCGGGGAAACACGGCACATGTTCTGTTGTTTTAAGTGTGGCCTCTGGAGTTTCACAAATGGTTTGAATTCCAGCTTTCTTACCTCCTCGCTGTGTGTTCTTGGGGAGTTTACTTAACCACTTTAAGCCTCAGGTTCTTCGTGTATAAAATAGGAAAAATGCTATCTCCATGCAATTGTGAGGCTTAAGTAAAATAGTACATTTAAAGTGTTTAGCATAGTTCCTGGCGCACAGTAAGAGCCTAGTAAGTGTAAGTGGCTCTTAATTGTACTGGGAGAGGTGAGTAGGCAAAATAAGTAGATATTTTTCCAGTAGAAGCATGAGCCCTGGGTTATGGGATACCAGGGAAAGATTCTGAAAAGTAGTTGCATTTGAGCTGGGCCTTGAACTATAAGAGTTTGCCAGCCAATCAACGATTCTCATCATTGATATTCCTATCTCTCCCACTACCTTCCTCTCTGAAATGAATAAAAATATGTTTTTTTAAAAAGAGTTTGCCAGGTGGAAAAAGGCATTGCAAGCAGAAGAAACAATAAATAGACTCAGACATGTGAATATTAGGGAACTATTCGGAAATATCCTTGCTTTGGGATTTGGGGCAACCACTTTTCATAGACGTGTGTTGCTGCCTCAAAATAAATATGCACACTGGTTCGGCTCTGTTCTCCTGGGACTTCCACATTCTTCTTCCTTTCAGCCTGTCTGGTAGTTTATTTTATTCCTGAAGGTTCAGCCACATCTAGCGCTTCAGTGACAATTCCCCAACTATTGGAGCCCTCACTGCTCTCCGCTTTTCCCAATTTCTCTAGCACTTATTTTCTTACCACACAATTTAGCAGTAATTATATGTTGTCCTGTAATTTAATTACCTCATTTGTGTAAGTCTAGTCTCCAGTTCTCTCCCTCAGGGCAGGGATGGCATTTTCTCATGTTGTGTCCCACATTGGGCTTGACATAAACTGTCCACAGAAGATGTTCAAGCAATGCCTGATGACTTGGCTGGACACCTTGCACTGCTATGATTACAGACACAGAACACCAGCCCCCAACCATGGGATTTATTGAATCTAGCATAAATGTATTCACTCCACATACACTATCATTGAGGGTCCTCCGTGTCTGAAGCTAGTTGGACATTTTTTGAAGATAAGGTGTCTGTTCCCATATATAAGACTAGAGGCCCGATACACGGAATTCATGCAAGAGTAGGTCTTCCTTCCCCCAGCTGCTAGCTCCGCCTTCCCTCTGGCACCCGGGACCTGGGCTTCCCTCTAGCCACTGGCACCCAGGACCCCGGCTTCCCTTCCCTGGCTTCGTCTGGAAGGTTGTCCGGTCTAATTAGCATATTATGCTTTTATTATAGATGGCTTGATGACATCTCGTGTCCCTAGTAGTCTGAGAACATTAATAGACCACCTGTGTGAGGATAGATGGCTAGAGCAGATGGTGTCCTCGCTGACACACCCAATCACCTATGGAGTGTGGCCCAGAGGAGCACCATTAAGGATGATAGCTTTGTCCCCTGGCCTTTAGTTTTGCTTGAACTTCAGGCCAACCCATCAGCCATTCTCTTCTCCCAAGATTGCTCTCTGTTGGCTTGTGGCCCAAGTCAATTTAACTCAATCCCTCTACAAAGGTAAGTGAATGTACTACTGAGATGTCCACTTAACTATCTTTTAATCCCGGTGAGGGTTCTAGACATTTGTTTTGGCAGACATTCTTAATTTGCACTAATCCAATATCTGAGAGCTGATTCTGTGCTGGAGAGTATCCTGAGAATACAACAATTTTAAAAAAATGAATGTAGTCCCTGCCCTCACAGAGAAAATAGTCTAGCAGGACAAGCAAACTCAGTAGACAATTAACATACAGAATGGTGTTTTAGTTATTGCAGCATAACAAACTCCAAAATTTTGTGGCTTTAAACAGTCATTACCTCTCACAGTTCTGTGAATTGACTGGACTCAGCTGTCAATTCCGCTTGTCTCACTTGGGGTCTCTCAGGAGACTGCTGTCAGGTGGCAGCTGAGGCTGGAGTCATATGAAGGCTCGCCTGGGACATTGGAAAGGCTGAGCTGAGCCTCTTTGCCATGTTCCACGTGGCTTCTCCAGCTGGGTAGCTGGGCTTCCAAAAACAGTGGCTCAGAACTTCCTAAAAGGACAAAAGTGGAAGCTGCCAGGCTCCCTAAGGCTTAGGCCTGAAACCTGCACAGCTTCACTTCGGCACTCTGTGGGCTAAAGCAAATCACAGGATCAGCCCACAGTCAGTGTGGGAGGGGAAGACACAGGGGTTTGAATAGTGGTTAAGAGCTCTTTGGAGATTAGCATGTGCTTTAGTGGGAAAAGTGCGGGCTGCTATGGAAACACCTAGGAGAGGCTCATACCCTCGGTATGGAAATCCAAGGGAGACTTCCTGAGGGCAGCAACATCTAAACTGATGAGCCTAGCTGAAACTGGTTTGGCTCAGTGGATAGTGCGTCGGCCTGCAGACTGAAAGGTCCCGGCTTCGATTCCGGTCAAGGGCATATGTACCTTGGTTGCGAGCACATCCCTGATGGGGGGGGGGGGGGGGGGTGAGGGGGGGAGTGCAGGAGGCAGCTGATCGATGTAACTCTCTCATTGGTGTTTCTAACTCTCTATCTCTCTCCCTTCCTCCCTGTAAAAAAATCAATAAAATATATTAAGAAAAAATAAAATAAAATAAATAATAAACTGATGAGCCTAAAGGTGAGGACTGGAGAGCCAGATGACGAAGGAAGAGGGAAAACACAGTTCTGGCTGTGCAAGTGCCCAGGAGGCAAAGAGTACAATTTTAGATCAGTGTGGTTGTTGAAGGAGTGGTAAGGATAGAGGATAGTGATAGCCCTTTTAGTCCAGAGGGGGAAATGGGGCCAGGTCATAAAGTCTTATAAACCTCCTAAGATGTCTGGCCTCTATCCTGAGGGTATGGCACGTGGAGAAAGGGAGCATGATTAGGCTGGAGGGATCCTAAAAAGGCTATTGGCTGCTGAGTGGGGGATGGGTTGAAGGGATTAAGCCTTTATTTTCCCCATGTTCCTTCTAGCCAGTGACCTTATCTTTATCACTGAGAAGCCTGAGTCATCCCCTCAGCATCATAAAAAAATGCAAGCTCCTTTGTACAAGTTTGTTTTCTCATTTTAAAATGATCATGTCATAGAAAGCCTGTTATCCAGGAGGACCTGGACATGTGGTTGGTCAAGTGGTCAAACAATTCATACCTAAGTGTGAAGTGAATTAAGGGGACCAGAGAGCATGCCAAGCTCAGTGGATTTACCC